GAAAGCTTCTTTATAAACTGGCCTAAATATATTAATAGCATAGTTAGGGTTAATTTCCTCGAATTTATCTATATCGTGTAATGTTGCTGGAAATTTTATGCCTTTATAATTTGCTATATTAGCATTTCGTCTAAGTCTCCGGATTTCATTAAGATGCGGTGGCTTTTTATTAGCTTTTTTTGCTTCCTCTCTTGTGTGATATGCACTTATACACCATTTAAAACACTCATTATCATCTTTATTTTGCGGATTAATTAATCCTAGTTGAGGTTTATCTAAAGCTTCTGGTAAAGGTAGATAACTACTTCCTCGCAATGGTCTGAATGTGCTTATTTCGAGAAATACCTCTTCTGCTCTAACAAATGCCCATCCTGATTCTTGTAATGCTTCATCCTCAATCTGGTCTATAATTTCGTTATATCCTTTTTCTATAGTTGCGTTAATTCGATCTTCTCTAATAATTTCTATTGTTTCATGCTTGAATGGAAAAGTTTTATATATAGGTTCTGGTGTTTCCGGTTTAATTTTCTTCATATTTGCATATAATACAATTCTCACCTTTAATCCTCCTTTTAAACCTAATTCTCTTTTATATACATTAGTAATTTTTTCCTCAATTGATTCAAAGAAGCCTAATGGCTCGTTTTCTGCATAATAACCTTTTGGCACGAATGCATAGTAATCACATACCTCTCCTTCATTAAATTTTTCAGTTTCCGATATTCTATTAATATATGGATTTTTGATTTTTTCGAAATAGATATTTGGATCTTCATCGGCTGTATCATATTCTGAATCACTTGGCTCGCTATCTTCATCATCAGTTTCTATTAAATCATACCATTCTTCATCTGTTTTAGGTATAGGCTTTGATCTAATTTTTTTATTATTTTTAATTCCCGGTTTTGAAACACATTTTATTAATTCATCTATCGTTAAAATTGATTTCTTTTTTTGTTCTCCTTGAATATTAGAACTTGGCTTTGCTTTTATATCTGGAATATCATCAGTTAAAAGGTCGACTGCCGGCACATTTTCTTCTCTCAGCTGGGCTGGCTGGAGCGTCGGTAGGTTTTCGTCGAACGAAATGAGATTGCCCTCTGGAGCTGGGTTTTCAGCGGGATTTTGAATGGGTGGATTTCCTACTGGAGCTGGAACTGGGTTTTGCATTAATCGCAATGCTGGTTGACATTGACCTTTACGAAGGTTTCCATTTAAATTCATGTGTTTATTAAGATCTCTTGTCTTACCAGTTTTTATTTCACTAGTACATCCTGGACAATAGAGTTTTTTTCCCATAGTGTAATATATGTAATCCGTGTTTTTTATTAATAAAACCAGATCTTTTGTTTAAATTAAAATAATTAATTCAGTTATATAAATTTATCGAAATGCAGGGTAAATATACTTGCGAATATATACACAACTCTGGAGAAATCTGCGGACGTGGATGTCAAAAATCTGAAAGGTGTCATGAACATTGGAGAGCAAAAAAACGTGTTTTATGCATATGTGGTAAGCCAACTTCTTCTGCACCTGGAACGTGTAAAAAACATGCTAAGGGATATTACGTTATGCAGTTTTATGCTCGAAAACTTCAGATACTTGAAGACCACCTCATAAAGTAACAATAAATAGCAGTTTCAAAAAATTTATCTATGCTGGAAGCTGGCGAATACCTATTTTTTACTATCTGTTTTATGTGTCTCTGACACTAGCAGAGCTATTGGCGAAAAAAAAAATACCAAGCGTGTACCTAGGGTGAAACCCATTTCTTCGAAATAAGTTTTTCTATAATAAAGCTAGTAATAAGATTCATATTTTACTATCTGTTTTATTAATAGAAAGCTAAATGCTAACTAAATAGATAACTATGCTTCGCTACGCTTCGCATCCAGAGTCGCTATGCTCCTCCGTGACAGAAAACAATTTAGTAATCAAATAAGAGGACATATATTTTGATAAATTGGTGAATTTTTGATTAAAAAAATCGATTTATGTATCCTTATATGAAAGTTACCGAGAATATGATAAAAAATTAAAATCTATAGAAATAGAATAACTTTAACAAAAAATACACCGAAATTGATCTAAAAATTTTATCAATAGCGGGTAGTACTAAAGCTCATATTTTACTATCTTTTTTTTGGTATAGAAACCTTATAGAATACTAAAAAATAACTATGCTTCGCTACGCTCCGCTGCTGCTTCGCATTCACCAAAAGGTTCATGCTCACAGTAATAGAATGCTAATTAGTCAGCAAATAAGATAACTAAGCTCC